CTAGTTTCTGCGTCGATCCGCTATATCACCCTCACCATGCACCGTTGTCGAGGTCAAGTGAAAAAATGTCTAACTCATGCGAAAAACACTGTAAAAGTCGATGGCAAGAGTCGAGGAAGAGAAAACTATAATTCCAGGAAAGGGAAAACTATAATTCCTTCCTAAGGGAAGGAATCCTGTTGGTGGTCAACCTCAGTTCTTTTTGCCTGTCTTCGTCTTTCAGCAACACGAGAGAGAAACGTGAATTTCGGGACAAGTTTGATGCTGGCAAACATCGTTAACAGTTCGGGTCCAAATTCTCCTCGACTCATCAACGCCTCGTTTGCTGCCATTTTCGACAACAACGACATCTCCAAGGAATTCGCCCGCAAGTTCTCCCAACTTCGATTCAACATCCCCGATAGCCCCGGTATAGCGATTGCCTTCTTTCCTGTGTGAACGAATGCGAGTGATGAGCATTCCCTTTCGTAACTTCGAGTATTCACTTGAGATGTTCCAAGTTTCCAACCCCTGCCTTACACATCCGCACAAGCCAGAAAAGAGTCACTTGATCCCCCCCACACACACACCAAAATGAATTTCCAGCAATTTCCCTGAAAAAAAAAATAATGCCCTCAAGACAGTAAAGGTATGAAGTTTGGTGCATTTTCCAATTCCAGAGTAAGAATAAGTGAATTTGAAAGGTTTTTCATTAGTATTTAAGATGCACTGACAGCAGCCTTATAGCTACTCAGTCTCATGCTGAGAAACTTGTGACTGCATGCAAAGGCGAATCTTTCCGCAAAGAAGGGACACAGGTGCCAAAGTGCTAGATAATTTGATGATGAGATGATGATGGTGTATGTATGAGCGGTGAGACGGAGACTGAGGGGATTATTGGTGGGGGGACCTCAACACTCGCTGGACTCACGGATGGACCTTGTCACCACATTGCGAGAGGTGAACAGAAATGGCACTCACGAACACCAAGATGACGATGATGACACATTCAGCAGCGATGAAGGTAGTAAGAGCTACTCTCATGCTTTTGGTACAACTGGTTTCTCATTCTATCAGGCTGTGGTGGGCTTTTAATCCCTGGCTGGAGCAGAGCTGGAGCGAATGGAGCCACCAACAAGGTATCGATCTCAATCAATGGACGAAAGAGAAGGAGAAACCTGGGAGAAACACCTGGGCAGTCTTCACTGCTCCTCTCAACCCAATCCTATTGAGGAACAACTGGAACAAGAAGCATCTGACAGCAATGGGGCCAGATCCCAGCAACAATGAAGATTCTTTCTTTGGACACGATCTCAACCTCGTCTCTTGTATTGCATGACCTCACCCCCCTTCAATCCTGTTATAATATTCCTTTGATGACTACAGTATAATCTCCCAAACTCTGTCTTTTCACATTGGTGTGTTTGTGTGAAATCAAGTCAATAATTGCGTTCAGCTCACAAAAAATTTTATTCCCATGTAACATAAATACTGAACCTTCAAGGGTATCTACAAATAACAAGAAAATAAATCATTTCTCTTCTTTACTAAGAGGATGCAAACATCACAGATCGTTTCCTTGCTGCTTCAATCATCACATACTCAGTGTAGTGCAGCAAGTGCAATAATGCTGAATCACAAGGAATGAGATTAGGGGATACGGATCAACATCATTCATGGAGGATTTTTTCAATGACTGGATGGGGAGGAAGTAGGGCAGAGAGAGGGAGGATATCTTCGAGCCCCTTGAATAAGCCCTCCTGCTCCTCAGGACTACAACCCTGGATCGGCTTCTGCAAATGCTGCAGGATGAAATCATCCAATCTCCAAGAATTTCTTGTGCATTCAAGGTGTTTAAAAAATAACTCTCAGAACACATACCAGTTCAAGATAAGAACAGGGTATCTTGCGAGGGCGAAGGTTATGGTGCCCTGCAGGGATCTGGGAGTCCAAAGCAATTCCAGCCTCACTTGAGCCACGATGGGTTGTAAACGATGGCTTGGAGAAGGAAGGTGTGGAGAACATCATCCCTGATCCCATACCAGAGTTCACCTGGGATGAGATGACCTGCATCAGGTCACTCTGGAGTTGATGGATGTATTGAGCAGCTGCCTCTGGAATATAGCACTGAGAAATGCCATCGCCCTCAATCTTGCATGGAAAACACCAGGCATCACAAATGAGTATCAAAAACAATCAATTTCATCTTCCACTACTTCAAAGAGACACATGCATTGGATAGAGACAAGAAAATAAATAAAGGTAAGTATTATATTGGCAAATGGCCAACCTTTTCAGCAGAAGTGATATGTTGGCTGGGAAGGACCTGCTGAAGAGCAGCAAGGGCCTGGTTGATGCTGCTCTGATACATGGGGTAAGACTTACCTGAAGTCCACATCCCAACAGATGATTCACTCTTCTTTCGCTTGCTCATCCTCCCTCCTCCATGCAAGCACTAGATGGTACAGCTGAAGGAAGGAAAAAAAATACAACTTTTCCTTTTCTCTCCTATTTTTGAGATGAATGCAATGACAGAGCAGCAATGACAAGATATGGAAAAGTGGCCCTAGGTTAATTCAGAGGCTTTCCATTCAGGAAGGCCCAGGGTACAGTAAAACACAAGATACATTGGTGCAACCAGAGTGGGATTCATATAAAAAGTCTCCTGTTCTTTATTCTTTCTCAATTCATTGAATCGGCAAATTCAAGGCTTTGATTATCATACATACAATGCAAGAAAAAACCTCTCCAGAACAATCGGTCAACTGGTTAAAAAACGCTTAAAAATGCGATGTGCAAGAAAAACATTGGGGATCTACGAGAAAAAAGCATGCAGGAAACACCTCATTCCTGTCACCACGTCCATCCATCCATCGTTTAAAATGCAAATTTCATAATAAAAATTGTAAACAAAACATAAAACCCTCAAAGGGTTGGACCAGGGATAGGGGTATTGAGTCTGCCATGTGAAAAACACCTGAGTAATAAGGAAAAGGCCAAAGGGGAGGAAGATAGAAGTAGAGAGGTGAAACAAAAGGACAGAAAGAAAAGGAAGAGATGAAACAATGAGCAGGAAAAAAAAAGAGAGATGAAACAAGACAAAATTCATGTCCACATCATACTATTCACAAGCAGTGACAAAAAGGAAACTATGGAGGCACAGCCTATTGTCCCATGAACCATCACAAATCATTGGCCATGCAGATTCTCAGCCTCAAAAGTGGAAAAATCCCTATCGCATTCCCGAAGGTCAGCCAATGTGGATCCAAGGTCATCCTCTTCACCTTCGAGGTCAAGCAAGGCTGTGATATTCCTCTTGGCACCCAATGGATTTTCTTTTTGCCCAGGTCCCATGTTTAACGAAGTCAGTGTCACTTGCGTCCCATTTCCATGAGGCCGAAGCAGCATTGAGGGAGGATTTGGGTTCACAGGAGTTGATGGATACGAACGAGAGTTAGAATTCCCTTCAGTAGAAAGAGGATATCGCATCGGGAGTGCTGGGAGGATACCAGGACCCAGACGTTCTGGGATCGGGGTATTGGGATACGAACGAGACCCAGGTTCTCGGTTCATGTAATCCTCAACCACACTTCCTGTTCCTGTACCAGTGGAGATGGAGCTCAGATCACTCTGTTGGGATGGGTTCCGGCCCCTGAATGGAGGACAACTCTGGGGGACACTTCCTCCAGATGCAGTCTCAATCCCCGAATCATCACACTGAGAAGAGAGGAGACCAGAAAAGTCAGAGAGCCCTGTTGATGAGAACATAATGTCCATGGGATTGTCTTGCTCTTGGAAGGGGAGAGTTTGCGTGGGGGACTGGATGAAATCAAAGCACTGGTTTTCCAATGGAGAAATGTTGGAGTCAGGGAGTGTCTGTATGAGGGGGACTGACTGGGATCGATAGGCATCATCTGAAGGATTCACTGGTACTTGGGGTGGATTTGAGGGGGGTTGGGGAGGGACATGTTTTTGAAACGAGGCCAGGGCTGAGGAATGCCGTCGTCTCGGGTCCAAAGCCAGACATGGTGGGGCATCACTCTTTAAGAGAGCACGCAATGCACTCCCTTTATCTGAAGGACTCTGAGGTAAGCCGCAGCTATTGCTGTTGTCTCTGCTGCCATTTGTGCTGCTGACGATGGTGGCACTGGGAGAGAGGAACACTTTCTCCTCATCTCCTACTGAGGTGGGGGGATTACTTGTGGTAGCCAGTTGAGACGTGGCTGCATAAGGCTGGAAACGTGAACCAGATGAATTACGATTCCTCATCAGGAAGCCCGAATTGTGACGGGATCGGTTCCCAATAGGGGTGGGTGTTCCTTGTGGGGAAATGAATGGAGACTGATTTTGCTGTTGCTGATGATCACCATAGCTATTCACAGGGATGGGGTTGGTCTGACCAGAATTATGCCTGGATCGTACATTTGAAACCGGTGTTCCACGCGGAGAGATGAATGGACTTCCTGTGGCACTTGATGGCACAATAGGGGTGAAGTCAAATGCTCTTCTCCTTGCTCCTGGGCTTGGGGGAACTCCTGAAGTGTTGGAGAACAGAGTAATGCTTTCAGTGGCATGAGGTGTGAAACTCACACGACGCTTCACATCCATCTGTCCAAGTGGACTCTTGATGTTTCCCTCCAAAAGCATTCGTAACTCTGAGAAATTCTTTTCATCTGGCTGCTTCTCATTGGGTGGGATAAGGTCTTCTTCACTTCCACATCCAAAGCTGGATTCCTGAATGCTTTCCCATGCTTTTCCTAGGATGCTTGAGCCTTCACTCTCACATTTGAACGGGAGCTTGAGCTCAACGTTTGCGGGACTCCCATCGTTCTGGGGCTTCGGCTGAATGCGCTTGTACTTGCGAGCCACAGGGGGAACTGAACTTTTGGCCGTCCCCGATGGGATTATCACAATCTTGTTTGTAAACGGCTTGCACGAGGCTCGGGTGGCCTGTTGGGGCAAGCGGGGGATGGGCATCTTCCCCACGGGAGCCCCTTGCATCACAGAGGCTGGCTGTGACAAACCATTTGTACTTGCAGTGCTGAACTCAGGTACAGGTGTCAGTGAAGAAGGATGAGGAGGTTTCTCTTCAATTCCTGTGTTGAGATCTGTGTGAGTCAAAGGAGTCGGGGCACCTTCCCTGAGAATATCCCGATCCCCTCCACTCACAAACTTCTTCCATTTCCCAATCTGCACAGAAAAGATAGAAAGATATGGGAATGAAATAGCTTGGAATCAACTAGCCCTGAATAGCAAAGCAACAAAAATAAAGCACTTATGAGTTGTAAGGACAGATTACAAACCTTTTGAGTTCTTCTCCTTTTAGGTGGCCCGTCATCAGATGAAGAAGAGGAAGAGGAAGACAGAGATGTCTTCAGCCCAATGCCTTGATTCCCTGCACCTGTGATATCAAGTCAATCCTTCTGTAATTGCTCAGAGAACATAAGTCTAGAGGAAGGTGTGGGACACAAACCGATTGTCTTGTTCTCAAGAAACTGCTGGGCTAAAGGGGATGAGGGGTGAATGAGTCTCTTTTCAATTAGATGCTTGGCAAGATGAATTAGAGACTGGAAGGAAGAGCCAATGAACTTGTGGGCCCATTCCAAGACACACAACTCAGCAGCCTCATACTCATCCACATCCAATTCATTTCCTCCATCCTCCACTCCATCCCACTGTAATCATAAGGTTTTAGTAAACTTCCATAATAATAAAAATACAGCATGTGATCCTAGAAAAGTCATGAACCATACAAAAACCATCTTATGCAAGCATGAAGAGACATCTGAGATTCAAAAGAACTTGGGGTTGTACATGGTTCTCAGAGTGCATAGTCTGATAAAATCTCTAGCAATATTAAGTTCTTCAGCTCATATTTTATTCAACAGACCATTGGAAGACTATATCAAACCACACCACCAAGATGACCCAGTACCGGTCAGAAAGAGAGATTTCCTTCATTTCCTCCTATACACCTCCACAGTGACATTACTTCATCCCTATATAGAAACTTTACAGGACTATTGTAGCAAAATTTACTCACACACAGTCTTAACCTAAAGCAGTACAGCAAGAAAAGCAGACAGACCACAAGATGTGATTTTGAAGCTGCATCCAAATCAGGCAAACAAGGGGGAGCGATGTTGACTCTCTTTCTCAATCCTGAATAGCAGTATTTTGACTGACCCCTCATACCAAGCCTCCTTGGCTTCACATCAGGGAAAACTTGCTTCATCACTTTCCCAAAGTCTGCTGTGCTCAATTGCTTCATGTTGTTCCGAGAGCAGAAATCACTGAGGAAGGACATGAGAGAGTCATGAATAATCTCCCCATCTAATTCCTTTTAATAAAATGACTGATTCAAAAGTAAAGTACAGATAGTCCACATAGACATCTTGCTTGGGCAGAGAGACTTCATGATCTTCTTCCAGATGCGTTCTTATCCATGATATAGTTTGTCCAATCTCATATCGATTACCCAGTGGATTCGAGGCCCTGAAATACATATAACCAGCAAAAATACACCTTGCATATCCCAAATTGCTGTTAAATGCATTCCTGATTATGACTCACAACTTCAATGGATCAGGATCAGCTGATTTGCCTGATGGGAGTTGTAGGTATAGTAAAAGTTTCTCTGTCTCATTGAGATCATTGACTCTCTCCAAAATTTCACCTATGGCTCGCTTGCTCTCCACACTGATGAAGGGACAGGACAAAAATAATTGGCAAGATAGTACGGATATGCCCCAAGGGGCACCTCTCAAGGGCCAAAGGGAACATGAATATGATTATGCATTATAAAATCTATAGAAACATAGTAATGATAACTAGGTCTAGCAAAAAGAATATGCATGACTTATGATCAGCTATTGCAAGTGAACATGCACAATGCCTATCTGACATTCTTTAGCTTTTTGCAGTGTTTTCCACTCAAGTCACACCTTTTCTGCTTGATTTAGATGTTCATGCACAAGTAAAATCCCATGCATGTGTAATGAGTCAAGTGACAAAAGCTGTTATAGATTTCCATTAACTCATTGCTTTGGGTCTTTAGATCTCTACCAACTTTCAATGACAATATTGTGAATGCTCCTCCAACTATAGCAGGTCACATGCCCTAGTGTAGATATAGACCAGGGCTTCTGAGGCTTTATGAATTCTAAAGGACTTACAAAAAATACTTGGAAACTCTGAAAAGTCCTGAAATAGTGAGTTCCACTCTTCTTCATTCCCATTTACATATATAAGAAGGGTGTTCAAAAGATATTGAGGCAATGGTCATTACTTAAGAAAAGATTTCTGAATTCTAAATATTCTTTTATTATTTCTCAAAGTATCTTCCTCCAGAATGAATGCATGAATCCCATCTCACCATCCACTTTGTACACACAATCAACCTCATTGTTTGAACATTGTTTCATCTGTCCCCTCAACAGCCTTCAAGAATTGATTTTTGTCCTGAAAATGATTTCCTCTGAGGCCAGATTTGAGATTCAGGTAAAACCAAAAGTCATTTGGAGTGAGATCTAGGTTTTATGGTGGATGAGGAACAGTCAAATGCCATTTTTGACCAATCAGTTGTTAACAGCACAAGATGTGTGACAAGATGAATTGTTGTGATGGAGCAGCCATTTCCAGCTTTACGGTTCTTGTGTTTTTTTTGCGATTGTGTCTTTTTTTAACACCCTTCTTATATGCATTGCCCTTACACAACATGAGAATACTTCTGAATGCCATTGAGGCTCCAATGGAAAAAAGTATGAGAAACCATGACCTGAACCAAACCACATCCTAAGTGGCAGGCAGGTGAACAAGGAAATAATTTTTATATTAGGAGAAAATTTTGCAAAGCACAGTTGTTTCTTCTCCTTAAAACACTAAACAGATCCTTCATTTGGAAAATAATGACTTGACAGCAAATGCCACATGGAGGCAAAAATTACAACTCTCAGCAATGCATTGTTGATTCCTCTTCAAGTTGGTAATGTGGGACCAACAAACATCAAGAAAGGTCAATGAGTTAGTGAGGCCTACCTGACAATATTCTGGAGTAGATGGGTGGTTCCAGCTGCAGAAAATGGTTGATGGGTTTCTGACAAACTGTGGGTATGCAATGGACGATTTGCTCCTGTCCCCCCACCAGAATATCTGTGGCGCTTCTTCCCTGTCATTCATGTGAAAACTACTTGCTAGACCTCTTCAAATTCACTTATTCCCTGTGACATGAACATCATTTCTTATGACTTACCTGTTGATCTGCCATCAAGGAGGTTGCTGAGACTCTTGGATTTAGTTAGAGTCTTTTCCCCAACTCCACTAACTCCCCCCAATTTCACCCGAGGAATTGGTATTGATCCTGTAGCATGAGAGACACAATGGAAAATGACAGAAATATTTTCAATTTTCTATGAAGATGGGATATGTACCTTCTCCCAGTGCCTGTTCTGGGTTGAGCAAGCTCGAATCCAAAGGTTTGTCCCCTGATGCTTGGCCATCCCCCATTGGTTGTGACCCTTGTGTCAAATGCTGGAGAAGCTGGGCCATTAGGGTTCAGAAACTGAACCCTCTTCTCATAGGCACTTGTTTTAGGCCTTTCAAGATGGAATTTCTCTCCCACTGCATTCCAACTTTGGCCTCAGCCATATGGGAGTTATAGCACCCCATCACATTGTCATCATCCTTCAGAAAGGAATGTCAAAATTTGTAATCCAGCACCTAATCCATGCTTTTGGCCCTACTTTCAAAATCAAAGTGATCCCCGCACCTAATCCATGCTTTTGGCCCTACTTTCAAAATCAAAGTGATCCTAAACTATGAAAACTTCCTCTAGGCTCAGTCAAGGACAGTTTACACCCCCCATCACAGTGCAACATGGCATGGTACCTGGAGGACATTATTAACCCTGGAACTATCATCTGGGTACAATGGAGCCACATAAAAAATGTAACCAGTCGTGTAGGCTGCATTGTGATTTTTTTTTTACATTTGTCAAATTAAGAACTGGAAACAATAAGACATAATTCTGCATATTTTGCTATTCCTTTTTTTCCCATTCCTGTATTGTATGAATTGGATACTGGGTCTAATGGACCAAGTGGGTAAGACATGTTACAAAATCTAGAGGGTAGTACCAGGGTTAAGTCTTCTTCCAGACACATGGTAGTCTATTATATCATGCAACCCATTATCCAATATATCACAACATGATATGGCTTGGTACCAAGAGCAGAGATTGCTGAACCAACATTGAGCCATTATTATGATCATCTGGACCATGTATTGCATTTGCATGTCATGTGACATGATAGCCCCATCCTGATTGAACCCAATTTTTAAATAAATTTTTATACACCAGTTTCTGCACAAATTGGTCCAACACTAAAATTTTCCTGTCTTAATGATTGATCCTACACAATAATTGACTCTCCAAAAACACTTACCTAGAAGCTTTGGCCTAACATCACTTTCAATATATCTGCCAAACTTGCTACAGGGCGTGCCTGGCATACAGCACTTGCCATAGTCATAATCAGGGAACCATACAGATCTAGGCCTACAACCAAAATTTGATTCTTGAGTCTCATTAGGCTTAACAAAAAGAAAATCTTAACCCTTAAAATATGCCTTACCATTTTGCGTTACCAAACAAAAACTAACGTTTTTGTAAATCCAAGATGCTTTAGGACACAAAACACTCAATAGATATCTCTTCAATGAGGATATATGAACTAGTCCAAAATATTACTCTTTAATCTTTGGCACCGCTGCAAAAACCCATCTAACATAATAAGACAAAATAAAACTAGCAGCTATACAAAAAACATAATATGGTAGACAGGATTCCATTGCCAAAAGGAAAATAAATGGACATGATGGACATGAATTCTTCTCTTTCCTTTGTTTTCAAGAAATTGGTAGCATATTTCTTGGATTGGTATATTATTGAGCCATCTTCTCCATCAGCTTCATTTACTGTTGCTGTCTTATTTTTGAATGAGATGCTAATGATGAAATACCATCATCGCATTCATTTCTCAAGTAATAAGTAGGTATAGGAATGGCGCTTGGCTCTTTAAAACCCTATCAAAAGGTGGAAAGAAAAAGAAATAAGTAAGGCTATTCTTGGCCGATGGGCGATTGTGACCTCATAACCATCGGCCGGTGCCGCTTGTGACATGTAGATAAAGTGCTGAAATCTTCATCACTCATTCAAATAGGCCTATTATGAAGCCATGTTTTATTTTTTTTTTTTAGCAGTCACGATAGCTGTCTTGAAAGCAAATAAGTATCAACCTGAACTATCAAAGGTGCGTCGATGCATCACGTTGGGGGAGGATTTAGCCATCTCACGTCTTGATCGGGCGGAGGTTTCACGTCCGTCGTTTCTTACTTCGACAAAGTCGCAGAGCTCTTTCGTCTTCCGACAATTTTCGTCCGCGATAGGGTATGAGTAGGGGAGGGGGGATTGTGACTAAGGCTGTACCGATGTATCGACAACAACCAGCATCGGCCGATGCCGATGACCCTAGAAGAACGTGCAAAACGAAGAACAAGAAATAAAAACCATGTGAAAGGGGCTTGGTAACAGATTCTCAACAGCAATTGGAAAAAATTTGGGCGGTTCCAATGCATCCATCTATGTATGCTTGTCATTTTCGATAGTTGGAGCAGCCATGGGAGGTTTTATTACCCGTTGCGAAGGTGACACCTCCCTACCGCACTCCCCGATCATAGGCAATAGATTATGGAAGACGAATAGAGGTACGCGCCCCGATCGAGGCAAGAGACGACGGAAGTCAAACCTCCGCCCGATCACGGCGAGAAAAGACTGAGTCCGCCGGTACCTCCCTCGGTGCATCGATGCACTATCGATATATTTCATGTCGATACGTGGATGTTTTCGAAACACCCAGCGTAACAGCCCTAATAAAATTTAACGTGGCTTCCTAATAGGTTTATTTGAATGTTAAAAATGTGTAAAATAGTTATTCGCTGCTTCTCTACACGTCACAGTGCGATGGGAAACGACGCCTTCGATGCCTCCAAATATCGATAGGGGCATGCATCGTGATAGACCTACTCATCTATTGCTGTTGCCAATAATTTACTGTGGCGCGTTCACGTGTTTTTTTTTCCCTTTGGTTATCGGCATCGGCAGACGCCTTATGATGTTCGATGACAACATACCTGCGGCCGAAACAGGTGGTTGCTGATGCATCTTACAGCCCTAAGAATAAGTAAAATATTTTTAATGTAAAAGCAACAACTACAGGGTCAAGACAAGAAGCAAGACAGGCTAGAGATTAAACAAGGAGTTCAGCGACGACTGATATACTCGATTTAAACTGGCCTGGGTAATGCGGAGTCTGATGCAATAAGGGGGCCCAGAAACAGCCATTTCATGAATAGATGAAGAAAGTTTGTTCCCCAGCTTTGGGTAACAAGAGGAATAGGATTTTGATGTGGTTCCACTCTACTTCTTTTAACTTTAAGTTAGGATGAACTGCCAATAAAAATTTTGCTGAGAGGCAGGTCTACTCATTTTCTGAAAAGTTCAAATGATTTCAAGAGGAAGAATTTTAGTTGATTCTCAAGTGATATGAAGTTCACCATCTTCAAGCACTTAAGGTATCACAGCAAATCAGCATTACTAACTTTCAAAATGAATTGAATGACAAAGCACTGCATTCATTCTTTATTAGCTACTACTTTATACTAGCAGAAGTCGAAGCTAAACATAAATTGAAAAGAGAGGGTATATCATAGCTTCTGAGTGACATGGATCATGATGAGGATCTTATAAGATTTCGTTTTTACTCTATGCATATGGTTGTCCCAAGAAAAGCTGCTTGGCAGTCCAAGTCCAACTTGCTCATGGAAGTCAGATATGGTAAGGGTTTCCCTGCCAAGAGATGTGTAATAGGTTTTCTAGATAATGTATTTTAGAAATGCTGTGAAGACAAGATTGATGTCATACCAAGGCTCCAGATTTCTGAAGTTAGACTGGAGAGTGGCTTCACCAAAGGAGTTTTGTTATTCCTAATGAGTAAAGAGGCATCAACATAGAAGATACATGTAAGAAAATGTGCTCATGAAGGTTAATAACATAAATGATGGATAGGAGACAGTCTGAAATTATAGCAACTCCATAGAACTACAAACAAGTGTCACTGAACTGTGGATAATGCCAGGCAGACCAATGTTACTCAGCAAAAGAGAGTTAAAAGAAAATGATACGGAAGCTCCAGGCAATGTTATTGATAACGTTTGAAAAGCTTCATCAGGTGACACACTGCTGGCCTAGAGCATCAGTACAACTGAGAGCAGTAACACAACAATACAAGGAAAGGAATATCAAATACCAGGTTTCTCACAGAGACTGCCTGTGCTCAGTCATGTTGGAGCATGCAGAAGTGATGCACTTTGCAAGGAGCAATGTGCAGATCAGTTGTTTATTGCAACTTCTAATACTTGAACTTTGAAAATATTACAATCAAAGATTGGAATTTTTTTAACTTGACAGAACTCTTCCTTATTCACCAGAGATTTAATGTGCAAAAAACATGAGGCTCGCACAAAATAACATGGTGACATTTAAAAAGTGAAGTGGCCCCCCCTCTTCTTCCAACAGTGTAGTTAAGTTCAAGTTAATTATATTCATGCCTTTTTGTTGTTTTCCTTAAACATGAGAAAACCTTTTCAATACTATTGATGGAATCATTAATGTAGATTCATGTGAAGATCTGACAGCCTCAGAACAGAATAAGGTATCCGGACAAAATGGCCCCGGACAAAAGGGCCCCGGACATTTTGGCCCCGAATTATATCTTCCTAGGACAAAATGGCCCCGGACATTTTGACCCCTAATGAGATATAGGACAAAATGGTCCCTCCGGTAAAAATATACGATGACAGCTCATCAAGAGTTAACGACAATTTTAATAATTGCGTCACCTACTTA